AAAAAAGATTTCGTTTCAGAAACCCGGATTCGGGCCACTGTGGGTCAGAATCAACAGTGGTCGTGGGTTTGGATGTTTCGTTTGGTTTGATCCCAAAGGGATGAAGGAAGGTGCAGTCCCTATGCCACAGGGAACAGACCAGCCAACAGCCACATTCTTGGGGGTTGTAATTAGGCTTTTACACCTACGAGGCCATCCAATGTTACAAATCAACCATCATTTAAAATTGGCAATCATGAGAGATGACGCTGATAAAGATGCTGTTTGGGAAATAAGGCACCCGGTAGTATTATGATGATACCATTCAGATTCCGTTTCTAAGAGGAACATTAAGAGATCATACTAACTCCAGAGTGGCAAATTCTACAGAAAGCTTCACATTCATGAGGAACTCACCTTGGGCAGTACTTCACGAGCCATCAACCAAATCAGCAGAACCAAAACAAAAACACGACAAAAAAGAAGCTCCATTAGTTATAGATCAACTGTATTCTCACACTGAAATTTTCCTTAAATCATTACAAATTTAAAATGTAATGTCAGCTTTTCATACAATGCCAGCTAGTTTACAGACCTGTGTACTATAAACAAACTAACTGTTCACTAAGATTGCTAATACAATAATCCTGCCAAGAATCTATATATACATTCCCTTCACTTGTAAAGTAGATTTAAGCAGATCACAAATCCTTCGTTTCCCAGTAACAAAATCAGCTTAGTGAGGCTATTCTAGCAAGCAAGAGGATCAGAATTCTAACAAACATTCTGCTAAAAAAGACACTAAAATATTCAGAATGGAAACACTTTTATACCATGTTGACATTGTGGATTTTCAGAAAAATATTTCATTATCTCTTTTTTATGATTAAAAAAGATTTCCAACTTTTAAAATTTTAGAAAGCCTTTCATAGAAATGTTTACCAAATCACCATAATTTGGCAACAATGCTAGTACATTTTCCCCCCCTTTACTCATTTTGTATTTTTAAAGTACAACCCTGATGCAGGAAAGTTATTTTTACCTTGGCACAGGTGGAAGAGCTCGTGGGGGGCGCTGGAAGAGGAAAAGAGAGAATTGCTGTGAGTGGTAGAAACCTAGGCCATCGTTACTTCGCGGGCCTTCATACCATCAGGCCGGGATTGATTGCTTGATTGATTTACTGTGTGTGATCTGGATGACGGTTCGCAAGGCAAATGGGTTTTCATCCACCGGTTCGACATTTTGTTTTGTACCATGGATTGCAGGCCTTGCAATGTACCAGCCCCCTCGCAGCTTCCCACTTCTTTCCAGCCCTCTCCAGCCTTCTTTCCCATCCCTTCCTGCCTTCTGAGCTTTCCCTCTGGGAAAGGCTGCCCTTTCAGTCACGAGGACTGACTGTTGTAAGGAGTGGTACCTCCTAGGTGTTCGTGTTCACCTTACAGGCCTTTATTTGGCTGAAAGCTGAGCCACAGGGCAATTTCAATTCCAGACTTGAAGGGCGTCTAAGGGCTGAAGTCCAGGCCCTTACCCCCCACGCCGAGATACCATCTAGTTCTTCACTCTTCTTTACTCCAGACAGGCAGCAGCCAACCGTCATACCTGCAGGCTATTCATAAAGCTTTTAAAATCCCACCCATAACTCCCCAGGGTAGCATATAGAATACTGTCTTTGTAAACTATGGCAATTAATGTTAGTGTCCCCTGAGACTATGGTCCTGATTTATTCCCCCAGGTGTTTGGTTCTAGGAAGTTTCATCTGCTGTGTCGGCGTCCCCCCCCCCCATGCCCTCTACTACATTCCTGTATATATTTGCAGGACATGTAAATTCATATGTAAAAATACCCTCAGTTAGATCTATAAATATGTAGGTGTAGTCCCATGAATTTCTATTGTGCACCTAGAATAAATATAATGAATTAGACTAGGATCTTCAAATCTGGCACTCTGTCCAGCAGTAAAACCTGAAAGGTGCTAGTGAGAATGAATTGGGGTTTTGACATTTTTTTCCTATCAGGTCTGAATTTCATACAGAATTCCTTCCTCTCTAACGTCCTTTCTATCTACAGGTGAGGGTTTCTTCTTAGGATTCAGGGTACACTAAAAACAAGCAGTGATAGCCTGCGCTCACTGTGGCCAAGTTTGAGAAGCAGACAAAAACAAACAGGAACGAGACAGTGAATGGCAGAGGATGCAGCGTGCTACATTTGGTCGGGGGAAGTCTCTCTTGAGATATTTAAGCTGACGCCTCAATAATAAAGGAGCCAGCATTTCAGCAGAGGGTTATACCTGCAAGTTGAGGCTTGCAGGGCTATAGCTAAGAAAGTAGGCCAGTGATGATGTAGCTGTTACCAAGAGGGGGATGGGAGCAGATTAATTAAGAGTCTCACAGACCATGGGTAAGAGTCTTAAACTTTAGACTTTGAAATTTACTTATTTATTTTTTAACAGTTCTATTGACATATAACTCATACCATACAATTTGATGGCAAAACTTCATTTAACAGGAAGCCAATGAATGCCTTAAGCCACTTAGTAACGTGATTTTAAAAAGATCTCCGAATACAAGGTGAAGGATGGATTTTAAGGTAACAAAAATAGCGGGGGGTGGGGGGTGGTGGTTGTAAATGCTGATTCACATGAACAAGTAAAATGCAACCCCGAGAGAATTACATCAAAGAAGCATTCTGGAATCTTCCAAAACATAACACTAACAGAAGAAATGCGTAGGTGGGATCCGTTGAGTATTCCTATGATCTCATGCTGCCTGCCGAGGGCAAACAAGGATTCTATGTTGGTCCCTCTTGTTGGCTCCACACCTGTCCCCACTTAGCAAGCTACTCATGCCATCAGTGTACCAATGCAAAGGCTGTACGACTAGTCTCGGTAGTGTCCAGTCCGGATTACAACGGGGAAAAAGGCCGAAAGCAGCACTGTGCTAAAGATGCTGGGACTCGCGTTCTAGCCGAGGACCCAGTTCACTTCACATTTCAAAAGTCCCGCAAAAATGACGTCTCGCTCATCTAGAGCGCCGGTGTGCGAGTCCCGGAAACGTAGGGCGGCCCGACTAAAACAGAAAACGCTCGATAATCCAAATAAAGAAACATAGACCTCGGCTTCGCTTACCACCTGCTTCTTGCCCATTCTGCGGGAAGCCGCGCTCCCGG